TTTGTGCAGGCGCAACAACTTAAGCCATGTGAGCCTCCTAGCCTCTCATGTCTTGCTATTGATACTTTTTTACTGCTCGAAGCTTGCAGTAGCTAAAGCTGAGGTGCTATTTATGAAACTACAACGAAACATCTTTTTTTTTTTTAGTTTTAAGACTCAGTGAAGTCAAAAATAAGTACGTCACTTCAAATTTTATTTTGAAACTTTAACTTTCATGTCTTCGTGCGACAGCCATTCACAGTTTCAAATGATGAGCAATTGCTCTCAAAAAGTCCCCCACAGCCATGCTCCGTCGGTTCTCATAAAAAAGGCGGACCTTCTCATTTCTTGCCGCTATGGCCTTCTTCTGGCGAGGAGGCTCTTGGGAACTCAGCATCGCCTCAGCTTGTCTTCCGTCAGTTGATGTTCTGCGGCGATGCAAGCCAAAAACTTCCAGAACCCCGGATGGGCACCTCCGACCAGCTTCAGGAAGCAGGAATGTCACCCTGGCGTTAGATAAGACGGCGTTCGATAAAACGGCATTCGATGAAACGGCTTCGATGAAACGGTGTTCGATGAAACGGCGTTCGACGAAACGGCGTTCGATGAAATGTCCGGTCCCACAGTTCGTTTTGGGGCAGGTCGACCCCGGTGTGTTATGTTGATCTTAGTACGACCTGCACTTCCGGTTAAAGTGCCTTGTGGATCATATTTCTTAGTTTGCCCACTGTACCTGTGAGGTGCTTTTTTCCAAAAAAAAGCAGATAGCTGTTTTGTGTGAATTTTGTTTTTACGTGATACGGGGGTTATCCTGTTCTACGGCACACGCGACTTTGTCTTGCAGTTTATTAGAATGCGGGCCGAGCGGTTTGGGGCACTGAATTGTGGATGTTTTGGTTCGGGATTGTTTTGCTTGGAAATATCGTCTGTTTGTTTGACCTCGCAAACAGAAAAAGAATGACCTTTTTTTTTTCTTCACCATTTTGTTTAAATTTCTTACGCGTTACATCGGAGTATCATATATTTATGCTTGTTTTTTTTTAAATGGCCCAACTGAAATTCCTGCGTTTGGACAGTTTGAACCTTGCACCGGTTGTTGAATGATGTATGCTAATGAAAAAAACGATGTCTCAGGCAAGGCTTATACCCCATTCACACGACCGTAAAGGTACCTTTAGCTAAGGGACCTTTATTCTCTGCGGCCAATCAATTTACGATCTTCCGCGCGAGGCGTGTGCTCGCAATCCAAGAGCACGGGCTGATTCGCCGATAGCAAAGGGACCTATGTTAAAGGTACCTTTATGTTGACCGTGTGAATTGGGTATTATATTGGTTTTGTGGGGTTCGTCTCTATTTTGTGTGAATGCATATGTTGTACCCCACTCCTACTTGGGCCTTCAATGGCCTGTGGTATCCTCTAAATAAATAAATAAAGTCGACAATTCTCTGAAATATAGGGGTGGGCCATCTTTCAAGTGTGCAGGAATTTGTTTTTTCTAGTTTGTTCATTATGACAAGACGGACAGAATATTGTCATGATAATTTATAAATCATACAAGCTTGTTTGTAAGCCAATAAAGTGGGCACTTGCAAATGCAAAACAAATTAGGGATTTCCTTAGAAGCACTTTCGTACCGCTTTCACAGGACGTTTACAATTATGCGAGTTGTCCTCGTTTGTCTCGCAGCCACGGATAAGTTATCTTCCAGTCATTTATCTCTTCGGAATCCATTTTGGAGCTCTCCCAGTATTTGCATATCTTCTGCCCATTCTTCCATTCTCCGCTTTACTATCTGCATAGCTAATCTGTATAGAACTGAAGTTACCGTTATTGGGCGATATGACTTAATGTTGTCTTTGCTTTCTCTGCATTTATATATTCGTCTAATTTTACGTAGTTTCCAACCCATTGGGTACCTCTCTTCCCATAATTATTTTATAGGAAGCAAACCGTAACTTCAATTTGCTTGTTTTTCCTAGTGTCTTTATGAGCTCCATGGGTATATGTTGTCTGGGCCTGTCGCTGTACCATGCTGAAACCAATTACTTTCTGCCATGTCCCATTCTTTTGTGGTCATCTCCATTGTTACGCAATTCTGCTCCTCCCCTACACTGCTGCTGTCCGTGCTATCCACTGTCCCCCTCTGCTCAAGGTGGCAGAAAGCCTCTTCGATTGTCTGCCTAACATATTCCCGTGCCTCTACTCTTCTCCCCCGCTGTGTGGTCAGTAAGTACTGAAACTCTCTGTCTTTCTACCCTGCGCTTTAATGTGCTCCCAAAACCTTTGTGACGCATTCCTAATTTTTAGTTATTTCAATCATCCACTTCACTCCTGCATTCCCCATTTCGGCCTGTATTAAAGCGGATGCCTCCCTTTTCCGCCTCTTGGAAGTTCTCTCATTTCGATGCTACTTCAGCTGACAAGGCTGCCATTTTCTTTGTCCATTTATGCTCCGTAAGTGTCTCTTGACGCCGCAGTATGGCTGCTTCGACCTCCTTATCCCGCCAGCTTTTTGGTTTGTGTCTTCGTTTTTGCTTTCCTCTTTGTCTAATTTGATGCTTCTATAATTCTCTTTTAAAGATATCCATTAAAGCCTCATACGTTCATTCTCTTGCTGGTTGTTTCGATACTACGTTCTCAATACTTTTATATACATTTTTTATTTGAGGTTCACTTAGTTTCGGCTTATCCGCTCGTTCCTGAGCTAGCTGTTCTGGTTCGGATGCGACAGGTTTAATCTTAATTCTTTTGTGGTCACTCCCTAAGCTTTCTGTACCTTCCTCATCTATTTCCATTCCTAACCTGTCATACAGCTTGTGGGACATGAGGCAGTAGTCTATTGTTGATTGAGTTTCGTTCCCACGTTATTTTCCCGTCGCAATTTACTTGTGCATTAACTAACACTAGGTCCAGGACATCGCAGAAATCTTCCAACACCCTTCCGGTTATATCCGTAAATCCGTCTAAGTGAGCATTCATGTCTCTTATGATAATTATTTCCTGATTAAGGCCAGTTTCTCTGATGTCCCTCAATATCATATGCAATGTGTTCTGTATTTTAGATTTCCTCCCTTGAATAATTTCCTGTTTTCAGGTAAGCAAACTCAGAAGAGTGTTCAGACCTGTTACCCTACCTTTCAACGGAAAAAATTTCCCCACTGAATATAGCGAAAAAATTTCCCCGCTGTGTATACCGGAAAAATTTCCCCGCTAAATTTAGCGGAAAAAATTCCCCGCTGAATTCAGCAGAAAAAATTCCCCGCTAAATTTAGCGGAAATAATTTCTCCCCTAAATTTAGCAGAAAAATTTTCCCGCTAAATTTAGCAGGAAAATTTCCCCGCTAAATTTAGCGGAGAAAATTCCCCATTAAGTTTAGCGGAACAATTACCCCGCTAAACTCCCTTCCCTACCCTCGCCGCCTCCTCCTCCTCCTCCTCAAAAGCTGCCGCTCTAATTCAAAAATACTCCAAAAGCCGGGAGACGTCATAATTAAAATAAGAGCACCGACATAACAGAAAAAACAATTTCATTAGACGTTTCGCCTCCCATGCGGGAGGCATCTTCAGTAGGTACAAAGCAAATGGAAGGTTCAACCTCAAGTCAACGCTATTTATCCCGAATGTCCGTATAAGCTTCGTGGAGAGGGCCGCGTTACAGAGAATTCTAAACGTCTTTCATTTTTTTCTTGAGTGCTCCCTAAAAAGCCGCTCAAGAAATGTTTGCGACAGCGTCGGAATAGTGCAACCGGTAGGACCGGAAGTACAGAGTAGAGATGAAGAGGGGCTTCGCTGTTAAACAACGGCGTAACGCTCAGTCGTTGGCTACTGTGAGGAAGCCGCCACGTACCATGTGAAATTCTTTTCGCGTATCACAAACTGACAATTTTAGGGCCATCCGGTTTTATTGCTAAGGCTTACTAATTTCACCAAATATAGGGTTCCGACATACACTTTCTGTGGTTCTCGTTTTCGCAGTTCTGCATGCACTTCGATGAAGCATCGTAATGCAAATTAAATTAGACATTAGGCATATCTATGCAGTACGGTCGTTCACTTAATGCGAACGGTTGCATTATGGAGGAAGCTGATTGGACACGTGAGCTGGATCAGTGGATACAAATGCACCCCAAAACTTCAATTCGACGTACAGCGCACTGTAGTCGAACAAACGGCCCCAAATTTTACGAGGGGCTTGATAACGGTGTGATAGAACTTTTTTAAATAGCTAAATTACGTATCAAAGACCACAGAACGAAAACACTGGGGTTTTGCAGTAGGGCCAAGAAAACACCTATCTTTCTTTTTTTTTTTTTTTTTGTAGTCAGTAACACGTACATTAGCTATTTTATTATGTTGTACCACATGGCTACCAAGCCTCTCGTGGAAGTTAGTAGCGTCAGATGGACGTCAGTGCGCTGTACGTCCAACTGAAGTTTAAGGGTGTATTATATGGGACAAAGGGTGTAAGAATACACCTTTTTTTCTGAGAGTGCATCACTGCTAGGGGAATGTTCGGCATCCTCCAAACAAAGGAGCACGGGTTCCCCCGTTTTGGGGAGTTCCTAGATTCGGGTACTCGTTTAAAGTCCCAAAGACTCACGAGCGAGATACCTACCGAAAATCGGAACATGCCAAAATTGTTACACGATATATTCTCCAAACACGAGTATTTGGTGCACGCAGATCTTCATCGTGGTCTCGTTGAAATCATATTCGCGATTTTCGTACAGAAAATACCCACGTGTGATTCGGCTTTCTAAAAATGATGTGGAACTATTCTTGAAGTTCAAATTTTCATCCGATTTTCGATTCGTTGGTGAACGCTGTAGATGAGAAATCTAGCCAGTGCAGAATGGCTGCCAGCTTCGGGTCTTTAGCGTGCATCACGCAGTAGTGATACACAACGGCATGCCGGTACGATGCTCATCCAGATCGAAACGGGCAGGGGTGGGGATTGCACCCAGAACCTCTGGGTGCCCCCCCCCCCCCCCCCCCCCCCCCCACCCACACACACACACAGATACCCTTTTCCAACCCAGTAAATTCACGATTCAACCTTGAAGCAAGCTGAGGTAATCGAAGAGGTTGACGACAGCACCGGCGCGCGCAGAAAGCAGCTGCTTGGGTGCTTCACGCACCAGAGCTGACAACGAAGCAGATAAGCACGGCAGCTGCTCTCCGCAGTCCACAGGAACCGGAGTGCTTCGGGGTCGCACTGCCGAGTCTCGGCCGACGGCTGTTCGCCCATGCCCTGAGCACCGATCGGCGGTCCGCGTCACCAGGAAACGCAACAGCACGGCCGGCATGACGGTGAGCTGTCGCACTAGGCTCGAGCTCCCTGAGGACTTGATTGCCTCTTTTATCTCTATGTGTGCAGCAGACTTTCGCCACTGTCACGTGTATTCATTGGCAGTCTCGTGTTTTGTGAAACCATTGTCTAAAGTGTGCAATATGTATGCCTTGGCCAGTGGAAAGCTAGGTGTGAAACTGTGGCCCGCAGGAACAGCAGCAGGTCAAGCAGGTTTCAGCCGCCGGTCCGACTCTGACCGACGCCGACTGGGTCTTCCGACCGCCGCCCTTATGGAAGAGTCTTGACTTGAGCGAACTCCCCAGGAAAGTCCGGCACTTCGTGGAGGAGCAGCGCCGACTGTGCCAACCCGCCAACGTGTACGTCTGCAACGGGTCCTTCGAGGAGAACGACCTCATTGTCGCCTTCATGATGAAGCTGGGTATGGCTGTGCAGCTCAAGAAGCACGCCAACTGGTACGTCCCGCTTCGCGGGAACTTTTCAGAGGTTCTCGCGGGTCTCGCTTTCTCACTTTCGGCCGAGAAACATCGGGACATTTGCAACGCATCATTATTTCACGAATCAATCACTCGACGTCCCATCCCTCTCGCTCACGATTTACAGCTCTGCTCGCCTTTTGACGCAAAATGCAACAGCGCTAATTGGGTGATCTTGCCGCAACCGAGCTGTACCATATGCTGCCATGAGCAGTCCATAAAAGTGGTTCGAGCAAACTCGCGGGTTATTCCTAACAGTTGAACGCACTCTACCCATCGTGCCCATTTCAAAGACATTTAACATCGTAAACGTGCACGAGAGATGCCACCCGGGCACTCTTGCAAAGAAAGCAGCAGCGAGTTGGTGAGCTCGTAGGCTCCGCTTCATTGAACGGGACTGAGGCCCCGACGGCACTGTTGCCACAGTCGCGCTGGTTTAGTCTACGTTCACAGCAGATCATATCGCTAAAAGATAATTGAAATGGCCGATGAATGGTCTCGGAAATTCGAGACCATTCATCGGCATATAATAGGTTGCACAGTTTTGTGCAATCAATTATAAAATTGGTTCCACAAAACTACGCACCGAAGCTCAGCGGCGCGGAATAAGGGTAATTAATGACGCCAAATGACGCGGGCGACCCCGCTGTCCCGTTCCTCCCAGCTACGTGGTAAGGACCGACCCTCGGGACGTGGCCCGCGTGGAAGGACGCACGTACATCGCCACCTCCAAGAGGGAGGACACGGCGCCCATCCCGGCCCCGGGGGCAAAGTCCGTCCTTGGCAACTGGATCAGTCCCGAGGAGCTGCGCAAAGTCCTCGCCGACCGCATGCCGGGCTGCATGAGAGGTAACCGCAGCTGCAACGTCCGGCAGTCATTGCCCTGGGAGCGGCTGTCCAAACTCGTCGGTAGCATCTGTCTCCCTGCGTGCCACGCAACTGTGGAGCTAATAATAACGATGATGATGAGGATGGTGATGGTGATACGGGTGGTGGTGATGAGGATGATGGTAATGGCAATGAATAAAGGAATTAATTGTTTTCCATTAAGTGCACTTGGAAGAAGGAAATCGAGAAAGAAAACAGCAGAGATGAAACTTGACGAGTCCGAGGCCCCCATCCTTAAAAATGGCTACAGCGGCACTTGCACGGGAAAATCTAGGTCCGTTCCCACACGCTTGGATGTGTGGGAACGGGCTTGTTTCTGGGTATGAACATAACCGCCTTTGATTTTTTTTTTTTTTTCTCATTTACCTGCATAGCTGCCGACCAGTTCTCGAGTGTGTTCATTGTATCACTACACCGATCTAAAAGTTCATGAATGCCATGACCTGAGAAAAATACGCTGCATCATCCGCATATATTATAAATTTGACTGTAGGGCTAATATTTACAATATTGTTAAGATAAACGTTGAAGAGTAGTGGCCCTAATATGCGACCCTGTGGCACACCATAAAGTTGCGTCTTTGGGCGTATATTGTTCATCTGGACGACCTCTTTTCGATTAGATAATTAAGACTTTAGAAGCAATAAAAACCGTCCCCGGACACCGTAGTAGTTAAGCTTTTCCAGCAATATGTCATGATTTACGAAGTCAAAAGCCTTTGAAAAATCCACAAATACACCAAGAAAGACGGCTTTGTTTTCAAGTTGTGTGAGTATATTTTCGATCTTCTAAAAAAACTTTCATACTGTCCCAAAAGTAAGTACAATGAGGCAAATAAAAAGAAAAATCCGCTCAGACCTAAACAATGAAGATCCAAAAGCGCAGACGACCCCGACCGAATCGCCGGTTTTGCTTCGCGGATAAAGGTTTACGGTACGCCCTCATAATTAAAATAAAATAAAAAAAAAAAAAAAAAAAAAAAAAAAAAAAAAAAAACGAGTTAGAGGTGAATTTTAGCGTATCTTTGTCCCGTGAGTTTGAATATCACATGCTTTGGACCGGAAGGTATCAATAAAGGCGAGAAAAATTGAGGAGTCCTGTGTTCGTCCACAGTAAAGTCGCTGGGCGTCGGCGTCGCGTTAATCAGGCACCGTGGGCTGCGTGAACAAAAGCGTTCGGAACAAAATGGACACCTGTTTTGTTCCGAACGCTTTTGTTTCTTTTTTGTTCCGGGGCGCGTGAAAGCTCGTCTCCCGGCACGAGCTCTTGACATTGACAGCGTTAGACAGCATATTGTTATCAACTAATTTTATTATTATTTTTATTTTTCAGAGAGCGCGTGCAGTGGGCATTGTGTTCTACAAAACTCCAATATATAAGATTGGCTGTTGACGCTGTGATCTCAGTGGTAGCGCCTCCGCTTCACATGCAGCGGATCCAAGTTCAATTTCCGCGGGCAGAGGGCGATCTTTTTTCGAGGATATGGCAACATCAACGGACGGACGCCCTGCATCGCCAACTACAACATCACTCTAAAAAAAAAAAAAAAAAAAAGCCCCTGCGTCTACTTTCCCGCGCAACACTCGGAGAGCCAATCACCGCAACTTACAGAGGCAGCTCAGCGAATGACGGTGCCGAAACATATGTTTAGACCAAAACACGCAGTCTGAGTTGTGACATTAAGCAATGCAAGCGTGGCGGTTTGCATTGCTTAATGTCACAACTCAGACTGCGTTTTTGGGTCTAAACTTCAATTCAATGCAAACTTTATTTTTCCAGGTATACACTGGAGGCACCTCCAGACAGAAAGCTGCACTCTAAAAAAAGCCTGTGAGCCTGCTTTCCCTCACAACACTCAGAGAGCCAATCACCGCAACTTACGGAGGCAGCTCAGCGAATGACAATGCCGAAACATATGTTTAGACCAAAAAACGCAGTCTGAGTTGTGACATTAAGCAATGCAAGCGTGACGTTTTGCATTGCTTAATGTCACAACTCAAACTGCGTTTTTCGGTCTAAACATATGTTTCGGCATCGTCATTCGCTGAACTACCTCCGTAAGTTGCGGTTATTGGCTCTCCGAGTGTTGTGAGGGAAAGTAGACGCACGGGCTTTTTTTTTAGAGTGATCAAAACCGACAATTGCTACAACATTAACACCGACAACTACTACAACATCAACACCGACAACTACTACAACATCAACAACGGACGTTATTTCCAGTGGTGGAAGGAGCCCGTAACGGCTATCGCTGTAAAACAGAAAAACAAAAACCACTGGGTGTGGCGTCATTGAAACCTGTGGGTATGACGTCATACCCAGCGGTTTCAGCTGCCTTGCGCGTGCCCCTTGTGAGGGAACACGTGCAGCGTTTTTCACTGCTCGGGTAAGGCTTGCTGGAGGGCGCGGAAATGTTGACATATCTAGCGTATCATACGTCACGATTCCATGGTCCCACCGAACGGGCCAGGAAGGAGGGGCTTCGGTGCTATTTTGGACGCGCTGTTGTGGCTACTTGGCGCATCAATCTGAAATATAATTTTGATAATCATGATCCTGAAGGCCAAATAAATACCAATTTACTGCTTTTTCTCAAATACAGAACCTCTTCAGTTTTCCTTTAAAAAAACACTAAAAAGAAGGGAAAAAAATTGTTTTTAATCAGTCTGGGTGGGATACGCGTGTCGAAAAATGAATTTTACGCGAAGACAAATTTCTTTTAGAGCAATATTGACGGCGCGAGATGCAGTGTAGTCCGTAGACACCTCCTTTCCACTTGTTTTCTCTCTTGGCATTTCGGGAGCGTGGAGGAAAGGTGGGTCGGCTTCACCATCACGTTGAGGATGAGAGAGTGTATGACCATTCCGTAACGTCATGAACTTTGCGCGCATAATTCAGACGCAACTAAAATAAATCTCGCGCCGTCAATATTGCCCCAGATTATTATTTTTTTTTTCGCGTAGAATTTATGTTTCCACACGGGTGTCCCAACGAGACTGGGTAAAAAAAAAAGCATTTCTTTTATTTTCAGTGGCCCTTTAAGACGCGCTGTTGTTCGCGGGAGGGAAGGGTAGGTATGGGGGTCAGGATCCATGCATGGGGCCAAGCTCAATGAACTCACGGAGAGAGCATTGTCACACACTCTGATCCAGAATGGAAGCGCTCCTACGTTAGGTCGTATCGAGGGGTATTGCACCATGGATGATCTCTTCCAAATGATTCGTACACGGCGCAGTGACTCATAACCCTAACGCACCGGTTAAATTCGACGCACGTCTAGAATTTACTGGGTCAAACAAAATCTTGCTATCTTAAGATAGATATTTCTGAGGCATTGTGACGCGGCTATTTTGTAATTTTTTTTTTTTTTCGGCTGGGTGCCTTATTGCAATGCTCCATTTAATCTCAAGTCCAAGCGGGACCTATGGAGCTGGTTGAAACACAAACGAAAACACACACTAAACATGCGATGTCGTGGCGCATTCTTCGCGCTTAATTGGATCGACGCGCAGCACCAAGATAAATGCCGTGATACGGAGTGTTCTGAGAAGCTTGATTGACCTCATGGACTTGTAGCGTTGATTTACAGCTCGGACATAAGGTGAAACGAAATCTTAACAGCTCTACTTCGTTTTCACTTCAGTCCAGACGCGGACGACGCTCAATCAGACAGCGTCGAAAGCGCACCATCATGGTAATCGTCATGTTTCTGTGCGTGTTCTAACTTCCCATTCATGTTTAAAGCGAGTGTCAACGGTACATTAGTTGCGGCAAGGGTACGTTCGCGTGCGCAGGGCGGACCATGTTCGTCATCCCGTTCAGCATGTGCCCTGTGGACTCTCCGCTGTCGCGACTGGGCATCGAGGTGACCGACTCGCCGTACGTGGTGGCCAGCATGCGCATCATGACGCACATGGGTGTCAAGGCCCTGGAGGCCATCCGCGCGAAGGATTTCGTCAAGTGCGTCCATTCCACGGGTCGGCCGCTGCCGCTCACAGGTACACGTCGCCCTAATTCGGGCTCTTCGAATAGTCACGTTGACAGAAACGGAGAGCACTGCTTTTCTCCACATTGAAGTTTTGCAGGGCACGTCAGAGAGGTATACCTCTGTGGCTCTGAGTGACCATGCATGAAATCGCTCGGTGTGTGGCACGGCCAAAGGCGACATCGGTATTAAGAAACACCGTTCCGCGGTCGCACAGATCCCCTGGTGAGCAACTGGCCTTGCAATCCGGAAAAGACCATCATCTCGCACATCCCACACGACAACGAGGTGGTCTCGTTCGGCAGCGGCTATGGCGGTAACTCCCTGCTCGCCAAAAAATGCTTCGCCCTACGCATCGGTTCTGTTTTAGGCAAGCGTGAGGGCTGGCTCGCAGAGCACATGTTGGTAAGCAGCCCTCCGGATCGATAACTTGCTATCGCATTAAGTTGAAGATTACCGGAAGGACGAGGGCTTTATTTTAACAACTGGGTGGCACACGATCGCTGCGTTTGACGCCGGGTATGTCAAACATAATGTTTTTCTAACTGTACTTCATGTAGATTCACAAAACTTTGTGTCGAAGTAAATTGCTAGTCAAAATGCATGTCGCGTTTGAAGCGCTCCTCAAGTCCACCGACTTTGATGGTGGGAGGTCATTGACCGAAAGACGGGACGACCGCGGTTAACCGAAAAACCGTTCCACTCCAACTGAACTTTCGCTCTGAGCGCGCTCGTCCCCGTCTCGCCTCTTCTTCTTGAGCTAGACGAAGTCTCTCATGCCGGCCGCTATTTGTTATTAATATTGAACAATGGGTGCATATATGCAGCGCTGTTTTCGGGAAATCTCGATTGATATTTTAAATATGTTTCCTCCAGGGCGTTTACCGAGCAGGTTTCAGTTGTGCCAGACGCGCTCCACGTCAGAAGACCCCTGTCCCTTCTTTAAACAGATCTTGGGGATCACATCGCCCAACGGAACCAAAACGTACATCGTAGGTGCGTTCCCAAGCGCGTGCGGCAAGACCAACCTGGCCATGATCACGCCTACGTTGCCGGGCTACAGGGCCGAATGCGTCGGGGATGACATCGCATGGCTCTACTTCGATGAAGAGGGAATCATGCGTGCCGTCAACCCCGAGAATGGATTCTTTGGAGTGGCACCCGGTGAGTCGTCATCAAAATTCAAATGCGTGGACGACACTCGGAACGCGACACCAACTCTTAGGGGCCTTGATTAGCAGCACACAACTCATCCCCGGACTCAGTTGAAGCCCAACACGAAGATAATTTTGATAGCAGTTTTGATCGTTTCGACAGTCCATGAACTCTTCTGGAAAGCACTCGAATGTCGCAAAAGATCGCAAGGGGCAGTGGTTTTGTTCAGTCCAAATTTGTACAAATTTGTTGCGCTCGAAAGGTCACTTTCTTAAAGAAAAGGTATGAACACGTAACCTATAAAAAAAAAAGTATCAATACATATGAGCATTTGCCATCGATATACCCTTTTTAAGCGGCTAAACTTGAGGTTCAATCACCTTCAGGGCGCGGGCCGGGCGGACTCACAGGCCTCGGGCCACCAGCCTCTCTTCGGCGTCGTGACCTTTTTAAGCTGAACGCGGGTATTTCATTTTGGTGTAACAGCTCCTCATATGATTCCAGTCTGTGCTACTTTTGTGCGCCTTCTCGGACTTCCGTCAACGAAGAAGTTCGCAGAGCAGCAAAGAGTCGAGTGATGTCCCGCTGCCCACAGATCCGGTCAAACGTGAACTCGTTCCTTACAGGGACGACGATGAAGACCAACCCCAACGCCATGATGACCATTCAGACCAACACCATTTTCACCAACGTGGCTGAGACGAGCGACGGCGGTGTCTGGTGGGAGGGCTTGGACCTGCCGCCACCTGAGGTCTCCATCCTGTCCTGGAAAAGGGAGGCAAACTGGAAGCCCGGAGACAAGTCGAAAACCGCAGCGCACCCGAACGCCCGCTTCTGTGCTCCTGCGGGACAGTGCCCCATTATTGACCCGGCTTGGCAGGACCCGAAGGGAGTCCCCATCTCGGCCATCATCTTCGGCGGCAGAAGGCCCGAAGGTGCGTGCAGCCGGACTGGCTCCTCCGCGTGACGAGGCTCCCTTAGTAGCTCACTTCAGGATTTCCTAACGTTTCATGGATGACTTGCGGACGTGCATAGGACACCTCTGTCACCTGGGTAGCTCCCCATGCATGCTGGATCCACGGTTTGTCAATCGGTGTGAACTGCGGCTAGTTCCAAAGCGACCTTAAACGCTGCGCGAGGCTTATTCAGAAATGAAATCTTTTGTTAACCGCCTAACCTTGCAGCACAGGAGTTGCTGTTACAGATTGCCTTGGAAGTGTGACACAACACAGAGCATGTGTAACAGTATACCACTCTAAAAAAAGCCCGTGCGTCTACTTTCCCGCACAACACTCGGAGAGCCAATAACCGCAACTTACGGAGGTAGTTCAGCGAATGACGATGCCGAAACATACGTTTAGACCAAAAAACGGTCTGATTGTGACATTAAGCAGTGCAAGCGTGACGTTTTGCATTGCTTAATGTCACAACGCAGACCGCGTTTTTTGGTCTAAACATATGTTTCGGCATTATTCGCTGAGCTGCCTCTGTAAGTTGAGGTGATTGGCTCTCCGAGTGTTGTGCGGGAAAGCAGACACATAGGCTTTTTTTAGAGTGTATTTAAATAAACGGCGACGTATATATACTCTCTCTCTCTCTCTCTGAAATGTCTACAGTGCAGGCAAAGGCACACGCGCGTGAGCCTTGCTTTCGAGAACTCGCGCATCTACACCATTCCAACATTTATAAGTCCTCAGCCCAGCACGCGCATGTTCGTCGCTTCGTAAAGCGAGCAAATCACGCGCCGTACGCACGAACACTGAAAATGGAACCGGCCAGGAGCCCTTTTTTTTTTTTGGAAAGGTCTATTCGCGCCCGTGCCTTTGTCAGCACTGCAGATGTTCGTGAAATGGAATATATATAGGTGTCCCAAGTCACTAGGCTCGACCTAAAGTGGACCGTAAAAATCAACGCCTGCACGTAGCAATCTAAACTTTCCGCCAAAGGTGTATTTCACAGGTCGGTTTATTCTTGTAAGATTAGAAAGCGTAGCTCCCTTTGTATAAAAAAAATAGGGCCATGAAACTTGACAGGGTCAAGTGCGGGCGGTGACGCATACGACCAAGTCGAGTTGCGGGGCGCGTTTGGCGCGCCCCGCAACTCGACTTGGTATTGCTACGTGCATGCACGAGTTGATTTTTACGGTCCATTTTATATGGAGCCTGGTGACTTGGGACACCCTATAGTTCACCACCATGGAGGACATAGCGAAACTACAAAAATGTGGCGCTGTTTCACTTTTGAGCGCCTAACACTTCTGCGGCCTTTTTTTGTGATCATGCAACGACTGGAAAGTATTCAGTTCGACGTGGATTGTTATATTCCTCATTAATGGAGTGGAGGGCGCGATATTCATCTTGGGACTTTGCGCAATAGCCGAGTGCTGACCGAATATTTTGCCCTTATACGTGTGTATACCGTATGAATGCAGCTCCGCGCGGACGGTGATTTCTGTGTACCCGTTCGACCGGCAATCCGCTTGTTATCATATTTCTCAGGTTTATGAGATCGCTGCCATATTTGTGGTGCCGGTACGCTTTTTTAAAATGCGTGGCCACTCACGCAGTCCGAGAAAAGTGTGAAATGAGTGACCTTAGGTTCACGCAAGGTCACTCGCAACGTTGTACGAAGCTTTCAAAGTATTGTGCGAAGGCATTGACAGCGTAAATGCGAAACGTGCGGCCGGACGTAGACCTTTTCAATGTTCACAAAACCAGTCCAGCGTGCGATCTTCACAGCCCAGCACGTGCGTGTTCGTCGCTTCGGAAAGCGAGCAAAGCACACGCCATACGCACGAATACTCCAAATGGCACCGGCCATCACGCTCCTTTTTGGAAGGGTCGATATATGTAAGCGAAACTAAAGGAAGCTCGACAAAGGAATCGTCGTTCAAGCAGGGCAACGGGACCGCTCGAAGACCTGTGCTCCGTGGCGCAATCCCGAGTGCTTTGCGGTTCGCCACTGTACCCTGGAGAAAATAGTCAAAGACGTTTGCCCTCAGCGAGATCCAGTTTCCCCTCAGCGGGATCCAGTTTCCCCTCAGCGGGAGCCAGAGTTGCGCATTTGTTTTCCCCGCGCCGCCACGCCGCTATTCGCCGAGATCCATCACGTGAGGAGCAAAGCATCCGTTGGCGTGCAAGAAAGCCACCTTTACGGTCGCTCCGCCGACGTTTCTCTTGCCCCGGCGTGTGTTTCCCTGCTTTCCGCCTCCTTTTCCTCCTCTCCTGTTTTCCATGCGCGGCGGCGCGCGCGGCGCCGCTATTCGCCAAATTTAGTCACGTGAAGAGCAAAGCATCCACCTCGTGCGGGAAAGCCGGCGCTACGGCCACGCGCGAGGCTGAATGCGCAACTCTGCTACCGTAGGTAGCATATACAGGAACTCTACAGCGAGAGGCCAAGCCGTTATCAGCATTCGCACCTGGTCCGCTATCCGTCATACCTGATGAAACCCCCGCCTGCATCTGTCAGTACTATTCGGGATAGTCGCGGATAGTCCGCAAGTGCGCGAGGCTCGAGTGGGGGACGTGCCAGACAAGTTATCTGGCGTACACTTAGCGGACAACGAAATGATCGCGCAGTGTTTGAAGCAAATACTGCGACCCCATTTGCCCATCACGGGTACTTGTGGAGTACGCATAAATGAAACAGATGGAATGATTCGATGACCAGGTGTACCGCTGGTGTTCGAAGCCTTCAACTGGGAGCACGGTGTCTTCCTGGGCGCCTCCATGAGATCCGAAGCGACCGCTGCAGCTGAGCACAAAGGTACGCAACCGTGAGGGCCGCTCGGACGCTCAAATGCCGCGCTTCTGGAAGTGGTCGAGACGCCCAGCGTACGCTTCTCTCTTTAGCGTGCATTGTTCCTCCGAAACGAGATGTGTCATGCTATTCTACTCGTCAATGTTACGTCGACATGCGAGGCCCAGACCCAGTGTTGGCGGTAACGCGTTACAAGCAACGGCGTTACCGGTAACACGTTACTTTCTTCAGTAACGTAGTAACGAACTCGTTACATTTTCAAAACTGTAACGGGTAACGTATTTACGTTACTTATTTCGAGTAACGGGTAACGTATAGTTACTTTAATCGTTACATCTTCCCAAAACCTGAAAAGATACACTTAATTCTTTTTTTTTTTCGTGTCTCTATACTTAGTTTCACCTTAACTCCAGCCGCCGCCGACGCTACGAGCTGGTGGGACCAATCAGACAGCGTCAAAAAGGCACCGTCATGGTGTTCCTCATGTTCCCGTACGTGTTCTGTCATCGCTGAACCAATCATCAACAAAAAAGCCCCGTGGGTTGCTCTTTTGAGACTGCTTGATTGGTCCTGCGTCATGACTTACGCTGAAATGAAATATAGGCGCCGAGTGATTCATTATTGCACTCATCCACATACCTTCAAAACTTTGCCTGTCTTTCCCGCACGCAAAAGATCCCACTTTAGAAAAAAAGAAAAAAAAGTACGCTTTTTGTCACAAAACGCCGTCGCCGAAAAACAAACATGTTCACGTGAGTTTACAAATGAAAAGCAACGCAAAGTAACGTGCGTTGCTTTTCATCGATAACGGTAACGCGATCCTTTTATTTTGAGGTAACTTAGGTCCGTAACGCGTTCGTTTTATTTGCAAGTAACGAGTAAAGTATTTCGTTACTTTTTTTTTTCTTTTTCGGCAACATTGCCCAGACCCCATCAATGAAAATGATCGTCTTTCTCACTTTCTCGACTTTTTTTTTATCATTTTGTGCCCGATGCGGATTGAACGTTCCAGTTTTATTGAAGTCATCGAGTCATTTCCACTCAGGGTGTCGACGTAGCCATACGCTGTGCCTCCATTATACTCTCTTTCACCTTAGGTTGCACTGCAGGAAAGGCTACAAGCGCGAGCTCCTTGCTCTAGGGCACATCTCGGCGGCACAAGCTCTCGTGCTCCAAGGGCAGCTGCCAACTCTATGAGCTCGCGCTTCTAGCCATCGCTGCGGTATAACATAAGGTGAAACGGAGTATAGTCTGTGTTACTACTTACTATTGAGAGCATTTTCTTTATTCGTCACCAGAAAATCGCCGCGCCTGATATATCCTTGAGAAGAACAGGTTTTTGCACCGAAATAGACCTGCGCCGCTTTCAAACCTTTGTTTACATAGGTGTACGCTCCCGCGAACAGTCAGCTTTTTCTCTCGAAGATATATGTCTAGTATACTTTGACGATGTTGGCACATATTCCTTCGACCAGTGCTAACAGCGTCAACTATTTTTGAAACTTTCGCTAGCAGCAAATTGCTTCTAAAAAAATTCGAGTGCCGCCGGAGGTGGCACTCAAAATAGTAATAGTAACATGGAAAGGAAATGCAACAGAGCCAATTGAGGTAAAGTGAATACAAGTACGCCCTTTATCACCGTTGCTCTTCATGTTTGGGCTAGACGAAAAAGATGGAGAATAGTGGTCTTGGTTTGGATCTGTCACATTACAGATGGGGTGACCAGACGTCCCGTTTTGGCCGGGACAGTCCCGTTTTTGAGGTCCGCTTTTGCCGTCCCGTCTTTTTGGCCCAATAAAGGATCGTGTCCCGTTTTCGCAGGAGAGCAGTTTCGAAATTGGCATAAAGCGAGCTGAAGCAAACCGAAACTATATGCCTACCCGTTACAAGTATATATATATATATATATATATATATATATATATATATATATATATATATATATATATATATATATATTACAAAAATAATTAAAAACTTGAGCGTGTTGGTGATCTACATTAACTTAAAACGAAAGAAACACACAAGAGGACGAAACAGACGACACAGTCCTCTTGTGTGTTTCTGTCGTTTTAAGTTAATGCAAAAATAACCGTAGGTACATTAAAATATTTACACCGGGTAAAATTTAGAGAACTGTTCTTGCCCACAAACACTTTTTCTCTCGCGAAAACTCGTGTGTAGAAATATTTTTTTTTAGTTACCGAATAAATAGCACGTAGTATGTAAACGTTATGAAATAGCAGTTATTGCATTCAATTTTTCTCCCAATTTCAGCATTTACTACCCCCCCCCCCCCCCTTCCCCCCGCCCTTTTGATGGGAGGTTCCGTTTCCTACCTTGAGGAATGTGGTATTACCAGCTCTTATTTATACGGATGATATATGTGAGTGATAGTGATAGTGATATTTATTTCGGTTCAGGAGAGCCGCGGCGACGCTGAAAGGCAAGTCGCCCATACCGCGAAGGCCCGCGGCGCCGTGTCCAATGATCATGAGATGATATTGAACAGATAAATTAAAAAAAAAAAGGTTGATGATGGTTTAAATGGAGTTTGTGGACGAGGGTGAGGATGACGAAAATAATCCCTGAAGAAGGGGAACAAAGGGACAAAGGACAAACACAAATCTCCAAACACAGCTAGGTTCTTGTCCAGCTCGCTTGCCCCTTTGCATTTAATTGCATTATAATTAGAGGGTGAGGAGTTGATGTTGCGGTTGAAGATGGTGAAGAGCGTTGGCTTAGCAGCGGTCTTCGCGGGGCCGCCATGGCCTGCAGGCCGGTCTCGAGCACCTGGCGAGGGCTCCCTGCGTGCCCGGCTTGCAGACGAGCCGGCCGAATTTCCGACGACGCAGGGTGTCCAGCACCCCCCGTGGTGGTGCTCCAGGATGTGGCGCCGGTGTTGTCTGGGCGGCGGTCTTCGCGAAATCGGGCCTAAAAGTCTCGCAGTTAGCGGTCGAGCTTGTAACCGAGCAGCGTAAGCACCCCGTCGATGGAAGACATGCTGTGTGCCACTGGTCCGGCTGACTCACAGACAGGATGATATGGTGCTGATGGCTGGTAAAAGTACACATCTGCAGGAATTAATGAATTGATATATGTGGTACCGAGTGGAAAAGGCTAGGTCTAGAATTTAGGTAGAGTAAGTCAGCAGTGATGATTTTCAATGATGACGAGAAGGAGGAACTTAAGATACAACAATTCGTGGTTAAGAGATTGATAAAATACGAGTACATAGGGGTATGAATTCATGAGAGTGCAGATTATCTCAGTGAGCTTGAAAAATACGTAACTGATAAGGGCAACACAAATGCAGCTGTAATGAATAATAGAGCTTTGTGGAATTATAACAGGTATGAAGTGGTGAGGTCAATTTGGAACGGAGATGTGGTGCCGAGTTTGACTTCTGGCAACGCAGTCCTGCGTAGGAAATCTGATATCCAAGCAAGGTTAGAAGTAAAGCAACGCGGCGTGGGTAGGCTGGCGTTGGGAGCGCGTGGTAAAGCACCGAACCTGGGGATACAGGATGATATGAGATAGTCATCATTTGAGGGAAGATAGAATTTGGAGAGTAAGAGACATGGAGGAGAAACGATGTGCAGGGAGTGTTTTAGCTATTTGTACATGAAGGGCAGAGGAAACGAACAGGAAAACTCAGGTCGAAATTTTTGGACAATAATTGGGACACAGATCAGGAAATGACAGTTAAGGAGAGAGTCAAAGGAGCGGAGAGGGAAATATGGGAAGCAGAGATGCAGACCAAATGGGCTGGGACTTATAGAAAATATGGAGATTGCTAAGGAAAGTGTGACAAATATAGGAGAAGCTCGTTATTGTTTGATTCCAGTACAGGAGTACTGTTTCGAACAGAGCGAAATATCAGGTCACAAATACAGTGTGTGCAGCATGTGGGGAGGAAAAGGAGACGGCTGAACACTTAATACTTTACTGCAAAGGGCTTCACCCTCTAGTTGCTCAAGGTGATACCGATTTAGCACAGGCGTTGGGCTTTCGAGACGGCGACGGAAAAGCATACGCTGAGAAAGCGGTGGTCACAAAAACACAAATTATCGGACTGGTGGCATAAGTCGGAGGAGCAATAAAGTTTGCTATTCTTTTCCTTTCAATCCGGCGAAAAGTGCGCGCACCGGATTGCGAAGAGGCATTTCCATCACACGGATTGTATAACTTTCGGTTGTAGAGAACGGTAGATGAAAGCTTGTGCTTAGCAGCAAGATGAAATGTTTTGCCCTTCCCCATTAAATCAGAATTGGATCGGAGATTCGTTAATTTCTGGATTTAGAAGCTTTGGCTAGGTGGCGCAAGCCGCCGCCCGATTTAAAGGATTCAGCGGCTTCAACCGTATCCATACATCCATCCAACCATCCATCCATCCAAGGCATGAGGCCGCTCCCTTTAGGTGTGCTTCCAATACAATTTGATACAAATCACGGCGCCCCAACTTTCCAGCGCCCCAGGCATACAATGTCGAGTCACTGGGCTGTGGACTCGTAAGCGGCGCCTGGTGTTCGCCTACTGCGCATGCTCAGGAACGCAGCCCATGGAGTCACAAAGATGGCAGCGCGCAGAAGGATTGGAGTGGTCCCGAGTTACGTCATGCGCATTGTCTTCTCCATCCGCATACACAGCGTGCAAAAATACGAAAGTGTATCTTATATAGTGAGCACCGAGCTTTCAAGAAAAAGTAGAAAATCGGAAGAAAAAGGCACCGGGACCCGGGTAATTATTCTGAGGGCGCGCGCCGACGACGTACCCATGGGCATGACGCCCTTATGCGGAGAGTAAGTCGTCTGCCTCTTGCACAGGGGTTGCATTGACATCAGAACGACGCCAAGTTCTGATTGGCTATGAGTGTATAGGATATATGTGGGTAGACCTCAAGGCAAGCTGCCTCGAGGTCTTCCCTCTATCCTTCAATGAGAGCCAATCAGAGCTCGGCCTTCTGACGTCAACACAACCCCTGCAAAAGAAGCAGACGAACTTGCGCTCCACATTAGTTGTGATAGAAGATGCACAGAGGATGATGCTTTTAACGAATTAAGAGAAGCACGATGTATATACTGTACACGAATGGAAGAGGCGCTTACGCACTTTGTAGCGCTCGTGCCTCGCTCCTGCAGCGCAACAATTGTGAATTTGCTCTAAAGCACCCTTCAGTGTGCGCTATTATATACTATAGCTGACTTCTTGGAGTCCGAGTTATAGGGCTTGAACGCAGGGGCAGTGGTAAACGTCGCTAACAGAGGCTTTTGTATAACGCAGTCCGATATCCTGATGTCTGTGCAGGCAAATCAGTGATGCACGATCCATTCGGCATGCGTCCCTTCTTCGGATACAACTTTGGCGAATACCTCAAGCACTGGCTGAGCTTCGCCAAGGAAGGAGGCAACCAGCTGCCCAGAATCTACCACGTCAACTGGTTCCGCAAGAGTGCCGAAGGAAAGTTTTTGTGGCCCGGCTTCGGCGAGAACTCCCGTGTCCTTGACTGGATCGTCCGTCGTGTCGACGGCGAAGTCAACATTGCCAAGGTGACGGGCTCGGGAGCACCACAAGTGACGCTCGCTGGGTGCCAGGTCGCACAACAGAGTTCTGTTGCAACCGAGGTCTCTGTGCAGCGCTGCGAAAGTAGCGGGCGCGAGTGCTCGTGCAAACAAAGCGTTTCACCGACCGTGCGCTTTCGTGCGTCATTCGATAGCGCTGCACAGAGACGGACTGCGCTCTCGGCTCAAGTTATGATCGCAACTTGGAACCTGTCACCTTCCAAGTCTCTGGTAGCTGCCAAGTAGCAAGGATTGCAGAGGGCTGACGTTGGAAATTTTGGATAAGCGAAGTAAAGGAGTAAAAGAGGCTGACGAATGGAGACGCGGTCAAACGAGGAGCACGCGTCCCTAAATGAAATGCACGCGTGCGCGCGGTGAGGCTTGACTCGCGTCTAGTCGGCGAAGTGATGCTCGTAAATTGCACCTCCGGTTGCATTCGGCTATGAAAGTATCACAAAGTGAATAAAATCGTTGAGGACAGAACGACACGGCGGTACTTCAGAGGCTGTGTGGTATATAGAAGCGGGAAGGAGCGCTCAGTACCGCAATATAGCCTGATCACGGGAACGGTTCATCCTTCGTTCCGCAGGAAACGTTCCTAGGTTACCTGCCCACAGACGACGCCCTCAACTTGGAGGGGCTTCGTGAACAGGTGAACGTGGCCGAGCTCATGCGAGTGGACCGAGACTTCTGGAGCAAGGAGTGCCAGGCCGTCAGGACCTTCTTCGACGAGCAGGTCGGCCGCTCTTTGCCCGCCGAGATCGCCGGCCAGTTGACCAAGCTCGAGGAGCGCATCAAGACGATGACCTGACACCTCCGGCAACGCTGCGTGTACAACCTTGAAGAACCGCTGCGAGCGGGTCATGTTGACCAGAGGATATGCTCACACAAACGACCGACGTACTGAAGTAAAACGGCTCAAATAAATTTTTATATATATATTTTTTTTTATTTAGTGTTGTATATTAGTTGAATTGAACCTCCGCAAGCATGGTTCATTTTCACAACTCGCCCGACTTTCCCAAACCTGAGCTTCCCCCGGCACGCGGCGGCTCAGCAGCACCCCCCTTAGCGAAAACGAATACGTTTGAAATATACCACATTCTAATTTGAGTGTATTTGAAATACAGTTCATAATTGTAAGTACGCGAAAAATAGACCGAAAATATAAACTTCTTTTTTTTACTTAGTACTAAAATATACTTCTAAAAATCATTTTAAAATACCTTTACTTCAACTACATTTGAAGTTCCCTTCATGCGTTTTGAAATATGTAAATACTAAATTAATAGGCACAAAATACCTTTCACATATATTTCTTGAAATATTTATTTAATTCATGCAAAATATACTCCAACCCTAAAAAAATGGAGCAATCAAAAATACGTGCAGAATACTCTTAAAATACCTGAAAATTGTAAATACTGTTGTGTTGTACTCTAAGTACCTTTTGACTGCAATACTTTGGTAGTTTGACTTAAACTACCAAAACATTGAAAAGCTCCCCTTTCAGAAGTTCACTTCAAGCAGATATGGAGTACACTGAAGCTTCTAAATACAACATTTGATTAGTTTGTCAACTGAATTGCGCAGCATCGCACTGATAAATCAGCCCAGTTTATGTTATTGTTTCCTTTTTTCTATCAAGAACACACCTGATCAGTTCCTTGCACACCAATCACAAACGGGGTTCGGGAACTACAACCACAACATTTGCTGATGCTGGAAAGCTTCAGCAGGTGCTGTGAACAGGTACGTTTGGCGTGGTTTTGTTAGCACAATGTTAGTTCACTGAACGTGTATACTCATCATTGTACGTGATGTGAATAATGACTTTAATATAGTGACATTAACTACCATATTAAATAATCAACTACTAAAAAGGAAAGGCAGAACAACTACTGTAAAATATTTATTTTTCGCGGGCTCAATATTTCGCGATTTAGGTCAAAGTTGGAGTTTTGGAATAATTCGCAAATTCTAATTTTCGCGACGCGCTGGGATCGCAATATAGATTTTAATGTTTTTACATTTTGCTGGAATTGTTCACGGGACCTATTTTTCGGAATTGTAGGCGATTCGCGAACTTTGCGAGAATTAGGTCCTCACGAAAATAAAGTCGTTTACAGTATTTTAAAGTAAAGAAACTGCCTTGATTCGCTTCGTCCTGAGTGGTGCTACGCAGAGAAGCAATAACATGTATATTATGAGCCGTTTGTGTGGATATTGTTTTAGGGACTGCGCCGAATTGTTATTAGCTGTACCAATGCCTTTTAGTAAGAGATATCGTCCACGAACTTCAAAACACTGTTTCCCCTTTGACAGACTCCCGAGGAGAAGATCGAATACTTGGAACCTTAATAAGCGCAGAGGTGGTCACCGAAAAAATGATTACCTTCAATATGTAGGCTATATAAGGCTCTAGAGCAGTCAACGGGACTGTGAATGAGCTGTTTAGTGCGTCATGGTGTTTGTGTTTGTGTTTGTTTCTAATGTAGCTTTGTGAGATGTATTTAGTAGTGCCTTCAAATACCACAGGGACACCATTTGCTGACAAAACCGAAAATAAAAAAAAATTGTGTAACCGGTTTTTAATGCACAAACGGCATCTTGAGTGTGAAGGGATAACATTTTTGGTATATCTAAAATATTTTTTGATTCATATTTATAATGTATTTTGAATACCTTACGCGCGTATTTCGAATGCGGCCAAAATAATACAGAATAAATACAAAATGAATATTCGTACTAAATATATTTGAACTTCGTTTGAAGTACGGCCTCTTTTTGCTAAGGGCCATGTTGGGTATCGATCCAGTACGTTTTATTTCGTTTCCGGTAAGAGATCTTTCGATAAGATGATATATTGTCGGGCCTTGACGAGAATCAAAAAAACGTATAAAATTGATACAAAAATTGAGCGGCTCGGAGTGGTGACGCGTGTTTCATGGTGACGTCCTTAACGTTCTACGCTGAGGATGCGGATAAAATTCCGCTAAACAATTTATGCTACTCGTGCAGGACTCATCAGCAGTTCACGTTTGCATCAAATGATATCTCTATTTGTCAAGCTTGAAGACGAGCTTCGTCCTTTGGTGTAGGAATCATAAACGTCTCCGCCTTGCACCCCAGCGCACATTAGTGGCATTGAATATATTTACTGGCCACACCTCCCTCGCAGGCGCCCTTCAGCTGCGCATGACGTTCGACTTCCTGTCAACAGCGCCTTTCGTGTTCGTCTTTTACTTCAATGTTGAGCAAAACAAGGCAAGGGGAGCTCCGCGCACGTTTATGCAGCGATATATTTATCTCTTCGAGATTCAGTGATAATGGCTCAACACTGTAGAGGGGTGGCTGCTAACTAGGAGTGAATAAAAAAAAAATAACACAGAGACTGCGCTTGCAGCAGTAATTTGGAAGAACATTATAAAACATTTGTAGCACTCAAAACATCAGCTGTTAGGCTGTTCCAATCCATAATTGTTCGAGGAAAGAAAAATTTAAAAACATTGCTTTTTTATAGCTATAAGGTTTTATTGTTAATATAGCTAGAAGGTTTATTGGGTCCTGGGGGAAAATGTAATGTAATTATCTTTGTCTATTCCAAGCTCGTCATTAACGACGAGGAAGAGAAATCTAAGACGATTTATTCTTTCCCGTAACGTTTCGAGGCCCGCCTCTATATACACAAGTTTGAAGCACACAATGCACTATGCACACAAGTTTCCTCTACACACAAGTTTGAAGGGGATACATAGGAAGAGTACATGTTATACACAAAAGGCACTGCCAGTCTTTGCACTTTTTCAAGTTCTGAAATGCAACCTGATGTGTGCGGATCCCGTACTATGCTTCCATATTCTAACATTGGTCTAACCAATATTTTATACAATAAGAGCTTTGTCTCGCAGGTGCAATGTTTCATATACATTCGCAGAAAGCCCAATTTACTCACTGCTTTGCCGACTACGTGACTAGTATGTGAATTCCTCCTCAAGTCAGATGTGATAGTCACCCTAATGTACTTGTATGAGCATACTCTCTCTAAACTACAGTCACAAATATTATAATTGAGTATCAAAGGATTCTTCTTACGGGTAATTGACATGCAAACAGTTTTCAATAAATTCAGTGACATTTGCCATTCAGTACACCATCTAGACAGTTTTTCTAGCGAGCAGTTCAGTATTTCAGTCTACGTAGCTTTTGATTTCTTTAAAAACAACACAATCGTCAGCAAACAATCTAATCGTAACTGGGATTTCACATACAACGTCATTAACAAATATTGAAATTAACAGAGGCCCGAGAACTGATCCCTGTGGGACGCCAGATGTCACGAACGTCGGAGGAAGCAGTGTTAAACTGCACAAATTGTTGTCTTATAGTCAGATAGCTTTCTAGCCACCTCAAAATTTTAACGTTATTTAGAACAACTGCCAACTTAGTCAGCAACTTCGTATATGAAACGCGGTCGAACGCTTTTCGAAATCTAATTATACGACGTCGGTTTGTCCTCGCGCATTAATTACAACTCATGCACTGTCTCCGTCAGTTGGGTGACGGTAGAAATCTTTGGTGAAAACCATGCTGCGAATTCGTTAAATAAAATGATTCTGCTCAACATATGATGATACGTGTTTAAACACCAAAATTTTTGCTATATACTAAACAAAGAAATATGTCTATAATCGGAAACTTCCCTTGAAGCACCTGCTTGTAAGATTGGAATTACCTTTGCTATTTTTCACTTTGAAAGGACAGTGACTGTCTCTAGCGACTTCCAAAATACTGTAACCAACTACTTAGCACTTCATTCCGCATATCTTTGTAAAAAAATGCACTGGGAATGTTTTCCGGCCCAACCGCCTTTTTAACGTAAATATTCAATATTCATTTACAATACCTTCCTCCGAAATAATTATATCCGGCCACGGCCGGACTGGAAGCGCGCGCTCTCTTTCTCTTCTTACGGCCTTTGCAATTGGGGCAATCTCCACCTCCCGCTGCAATTCGCGGGGGGCGCTGTCACCTCACCCCTGGTAAAGCCCCTTGATAAAGGCCGTTTTTACAAGTACCGCCAACCATTGTTGTGAAAACGCGCGAGATACGTGCCGCGAGCGCGTGCTCCGCCGCCATTCGCTTCCAAAGGCCGCTCATTTCAGTGCTGCACCGCCATTTGCTTCCAGGGGCCGCTCGAGACATGGGCCTCGTGCGCTCGCGCATTTGACGCTACTTGCAAGACACGTAAACACATCAAGGGGCTTTAACCCCTGGTAGAGTGCCTTCATACACACGCGCGCTTTTGCTTGAGTGGTGACATCTCAGCCATTTTACCGCCCAATCGTTTTTTTATGCATTTGAAGCGCGCGCAATCTGCTGTCACTTAGCTCGAGCGCGTAGCTTTGGCTAATGCATAGACGCCATTTTACTGCCCAAGTCACGCACCGAGTGCGCGAGAGCGTCACGCGCTGGCACATTCAGGGCAACAATGGATGTCTTCACCCTGAGACAAACAGACATGTAGGCACCCTAACCCCTGGGCTACCCTTTGCCGTTTTGCACAAAGCGCGTCTGACAGTGTATCGCAACGCTGTCGCAACTTGCAGCCGAGATTTTTATAGCCTTTGACGTCTGATCCATACGTTTAGACCCTCAGCCACTATCTAATGAGCTTCTGATGAGCCCAAGACGGTGAATATTCGACGCACATCTCCGAGACATTCGTGAATAAAAAGTAGTAAGTAGAGACAGCGAATTCAATTGCGGAAAGACTATTCTTGTCTTTACCTCCAGGACTTCTGTTGCAACTCAAGAACAGGAGGAGACGGACCCCTTCTACGTGGAGGAACTTTGAATTATAAATAATTCATACACTCTCATGAAATGTAAGCAGGCCCAATCTATCTATACCGTGGTCTGCATCATCATTTCATAGGCCGCACGTGAAGTCGGTCAGCTGCTCTAGACGAGGGTGTAAGTAGTCTGTACAATTTTCGCACAGTGCATATTGCAGCCTAAGGTGCTTCCTCGAGGGCTTGTGCACTATCCAGCTGATTTTTCGTTTCTGTCCGTGACCGTCTTTGCATGGTTAATCAGAAGTATTCTGAGGAACCGTTGCCAAAACAACAACCTACGAAGTTAAACACCAGCGCAAAGCAGCTCGAAGGGACTCTCCGAGTGGGGTGAAGTGGGGTGAGGTGGTTGCGCCCCTGGCGGCAAGCAAGTGAACTACATGCGGAGAAAAAATGCCACTGACTCCCGGCCGATCGCAAAGGCCGTAAGAAGAGAAAGAGAGCGCGCGCTTCCAGTCCGGCCGTGATCCGGCAAAGCATCTTCAGAGATTTCATTGCGTTCCTGGACTGCCTCCGAGATCGGACAGCGCCCTTCGTCGAACCTAAAAACTGAAGTAAAATTTTTGTTGGAAGTATCAGAAATATAATAAGGATCGTCCACAATCTCATTATGAATATTCTATTCATTTACTTTTGGTTTCGATGGTGACATGAAGCGCCAAAACTTCTCAGGAGAGGACTTGAGAAATGAGGACATTCTCACATTGAGGAACCGATGTTTTGCTTCTTTGATTTTTTTCCTTAAGATCATATTTCAATTGAACGATAAGGTTCTCATATTTTGATCGTTTACAAAGTCTACGGAGTCTTCGGCGCATTTAAACATTTTTTTCGTAATCTTTTTTTTTTTTTTTTTTACAAGCTTGGTAATGCAGCTGAAGACGACGTTTTCAAGGAAATATCAGAAAAAGTTAACATCACACTCACAAGTGTTGTAGGCATAAAAAAAAAATCGCTAAACGCGAACGCTAGTGTATTAATAATAGAGACATCATGCGCCATAGAACAGTTTAGATATTCCTTACGACTTCGTGTATCGTGGGTCACATTATTTGCTGACAGAGTAAGCACTTCGTGATCTGAAATTCCTTCCACCACCTCAACGTTTTGTACTCTTTCATCTAAGTTCTGCGCAAGAAAAAATAAATAGAGTATTGGGTCCTTCTTCGGATAACCTTGTGGGAGTCCGCACAATTTGATAGAGATCGTGAAAAAAGGCTAGCTCCAATATTGCTCGCGAACTATGAAACGATGATCACGTGTTCTCCCATTCAATATTAGGCAACTTGAAATCACCGGCAAAAATATTTCTAGAATTTGCGTGAACATTTTATGAAAGATAGTCATTTATTTTACCCAGAGTATTGCCACTGCTTTGTGGTCTGTAGAACGCACCGATGATAAGGGATGTAGAAAAAATGCTGACACGAATCCACAGAATCTCTGTATCATCGATACCGGGCATTCGGTTATAGTGCACATTTTCTTTCAGAACTATGGCCACGCTCCTGCCACGCGGGTCCTTTCGTATTATTTTGTAAACTGGAGGGACGATCTCAGAGTCAGATACTTCCGCGACATGCGGTTTACGAGTCAGCAAACCATATTCAAAGTCAACAACTTTATTCATATACGCTCCTTGCGTTCAAGCTCAAGAATCTGATAGGATTTGTGGCCTCGTCGGTGGCGTCACTAGGGGTAGGGACGCCCAAATCCCCAAGGGACGCCCAAATCAAAAGGCGGCTCTTCGAAACGCACGCTCGGAGGGAAGTTCATTGGCGTGTTGTTTTATTTCCACATTCCGCTTGGTTGTTCGTGAACCCTTCCTCCGGTGGTCCGCTTTGCCGGTAAGCAGAGCTACCGACCTCGAGCCCCGTCTCCCCTCAGCCTCCGCCTCCATTTCGCGCTTAAAAATAGCCCACGGGGGGGAGACGGTGCTTCTCTCGGCGTCTTTGGGTCGGGGTGTCGCAGGGGACCGCCTCGGACATGGTGGACATCAGCAGCCCGTTCCTCAACCTCCAGAAAGGAACCTCCGTCCTCCTCAACGTAAGAACCGTCCGCAGTCGCAGTCCGTAGCCGTTCGAATGCGCGGGTTAGACCCCCCGAATTGGGCTCGCTCGGGGACGGACTTTGAGAAGGAACCTCCGGGAAGTCCCAGAGGAGCGTGTCCGGCGCAGCCGATGCTGCGCCGAGACACGCTTCTTGCCGGTCAGGGGTTTCCCCGGGAATTGAAATTAGGGGGCCGGGGGGGGGGGGGGGGGGGGGGGGGGGGGTGTAAATTTTTAGGGGGTGGGTTGGAGGGGGGGGCATTAAGAATAGAGGAGTCGTTGCGAATTAAGGGGGTGATTTCAGAAAAACAAGGGGGTGTACCCCCCCCCCCCCCCCCCCCCCCCCAAGGGTCTGTAGGGAAATCACTGTCGCCGGTTCTTCCGACGAGCTTCGATTACCTTCGTGTTTTGGTCGGGCGTACACGGATTGGAAATCGATTTTCTTGTTGTTGTTCTTGTTTTCCGCCAGAGTGTAATGTCCTATAGTTTACGTCTTGTTTCTTTAGAACGACCTCAGTTGTTTGAGCTGCAACTTGTTTTCCGCAGGTGCTTAGCCGGGCCGACACCAATGGTGAGAACCGCGTGTTTTCAACACCTCAGTGTGCACAGAGGCGATTGCAGGCACGGTGACGCGATGGGAGGCTAGTGACACCCTGGACGCCGCACACGGGCGCGTACCTGATGGCACGCACGACGGTCCTCTGCGATTGCAGGAGACGGAGTTGTGGCCAAAGAAGAGTTTCTCAACTTCTTTTGGGATGCCATCGCGACGGAAGATGAGCTCTGCGACCTTTTCGACGAGATCAACGTCCACAGCACAGGGTAGGCTGTACCTCTTCTGAGCGGGGATTCCGCTGTTTATAGTTCACTCGGTCGTTATAAATTGACGTTTATTTGTAGGAGTCAAAATCGCTGTTTATATGCGATAACTTTTTGCAAGTCTCACGTTAAATACGACAAAAACAAAATGATTATTCAATGGTCATATATGGCACCCGAGAAAACGGACGCAAAATGAAAATTATGACCTTCTTTAAAATAATAATAAAAAAAAATAAATAAAAGAAATCGCCCACGTGATTTGCCGGGAATGAAAATAAAAGCTCATATTTTCGGAGTTTACATTTTTGACACAGAATTTCTTAATATTTCCAATATTTCCAATATTTGGAAATCTAGTTTTAGGGTTTACGTGAAAAACCGAGGGGCATCTAGTTGCCAAGCACCCAATGAACGATTTTAAACGCGCCAGAGTTGGGACTCGTAGCGAACCGCCCCCGGAGCCACCGTCGCATGCTAATCGACGAACACCAGAAGCGCCACCCAGGCACAGTGTGACATATGATCATCGTTATCTCAGTTTCATCGATGCCGGCGAGTTGAGTTCATTTATTTGGCGACACATGGGGAACTTCTCGGCACTCCTGGCTGCCTTGGAAGACCTCAGTGCAGCTGTCTCCAAGGGATTGCACCAGATCGAAAAGGTGACGACGAAGGAACAACAGTTTGGATATTCGCTATTGAGAAAATATCCCATAAACTCTAACTGCGCAGACTTGTTACCCTCTTTAATTGGCATTTACAGGCCTTCGCACCCAAAGCCTTTATTCGCGGCGAGAAGTTTGGGTGTCGCCGCCTGGTGGATTTTTTTTCACAACCCAGAGTGAGGATACTTCAACTTCCTCTGCTGGTGCAAGCACGTGCAATGCCGAGCTTCTATCCACCATAAAAAAATTAAAATATAACCGCGTGAGTAGCACGTGCACTGTCCAGAGTGAGGAAAATAGAAGCGCTCCTAGCGAGCTTCTCACCGTGAGTACAATTGCCAACCAGCATGCCGCAGAGTCGGGATTTTATAAAGGCTTTCGGTCTGAAGGTCTTTGAAACGCCCGTGAAACAGTGGTATTAACCCACTCAATGTTGATCAAAATATTTCGTCTTGGTTAGAGTGCTTTCTAAGCGTAAATTACTTAACATCGGCCCCCGTTAATTGCGTGCCACCAGAGTCTTGGTCCTCTCTTATTTCTTATCTGTATGAACAGCTACCAACTCAAATTTTCTTCCCTAATCCTGTTGATGTTTCCGTTGTTTAGCGGGAAATAACTTCAAAAATTAAGTTCACACAATTCAATCTGATGTGAATGAGATTTTTATTTGGTGTGATGCATGTAAAATGAAAATGAATATTAACAAATGTAAGGAGATGTGTTCCCCTCAGGTTGCAGCTTGTCTTAACCACCTAGCAAATGACTCCCTTGAAAACGTACCATCTTACAACTCGTTAGGTGTTCGTATTACTTTTTACCTACCATGTATAACTCGCTCGGAATATTTCGGAATTAAAAACAGCGCGAAAAGACGAGAACCAGACAAGGAAGTAACACGGACGCAGCGATATGTCGTTAAGAAGAGTTCCCATTTCCCATCCCCTCTAGAATGCTTCTGCCCTAAGAGCAGTACAATGAATTAAAGGAGGCCGAGATCGTTGACCTCCACTCCGCTGCGCGCGTTTCACTACAGATGTACGAAGGAAGCTCTCTGCAGGACCAATTTGTCACGAGGTTCATCGTCAAAGAGGCTGTCTTCCAACTCTCCAAGCTGTCAGCGACGTTAGAAACCGCGCAGAAAAAATTCCAGGAAAATGGGATTCCCCTGATCGACGGAAGTGATGACGAAGACGACGTCGTCTGGTGGGCAATCTTACTTGGCCTACACGGCAGTGCAACTGTCCCAGTGAATTTGAGTCACAGGAGGTCTGTCCAGCGCTGTGTAAAGCACCAGACACATGGACGAGAAAACGTCCGAGTCGGGAAGGCGGCCGAATTATGACCTCCGAATCGCCGGAGCTTGCACGTACGACACGAAGGGAAGGATTGGACACGTGCTTTGCGGGGATCTTGGAGGTCATAGCTCAACTCTCGGTGCTTTATGCTGCGGGAATCTCGGAGGCCATTTTAGATTTCGAGATTAGGCCATTTTTGGGACACCGGCATAGCCGTGACTCACGATTTCTTCACGAAGTGACTTCTTTCATGACTTGCCATGATGTGTGCGGCGAACAGTTCGCTGTCGTTTCGCTTAGGGTGCCTCAATGTCCTTCTGTTTAGGGTGATGCCACCCTTTGTAGTACCCGATGCCGACAGCACGCGCTCACGGGTAAAATACAAAGAAATCGGCGAAAACAAAATGTCGCCATAGCACAGTCAGAGCCACAAACGCGTGCATAAACACGCTCTTTCACGCGCTTCTGAACAAAAAAGAAAAATAAAAGTGTGGGACAAAATGGCCAGATGTCTCCACCCTAAGCAAAGCGCACATGAAGGCACCCTAGTTTCGCTCGTTCTGGACGCAACTGTCTTTAGGCACAGGCACGAGCGCAAGACGTGCAAACCACGGTGGTGCAAACAAAGCGTTTGGAAGAATTGCGCCTTCGCGTCCGTGCATGCATGTTCCGCAGACAACTCGCGAGATAGAGTACACCTGCTGCCCCTTACTAATCACGTTCACTGTGATGGAATTTCCGAGAAGAGCAGTGCGCGTGCGCATATATAATCGGCGCTCAAGGTGCGTGAGCCCGTGCTCCCGTACCTTTCACTGTATTACCACAGAAAGCTGAGCCACCCCGACAAGGAAACGGGCAACCCGGCCGCGTCGCGGCGGTCGCCTATTCTTCGCAGCCACCTAGCGGTAGCCGGCGCAGAATCATCGGGAAGCGGGCGACGAACAACACAGCGGACAGTGCCCCCGTCGCGACGGAGTTTAAGGCGGTTACGAGTCCGGAAAGCATCTTCCGTGGTGCCAATATGACGAAGGGAAAACTCCTTCACGAATCTAGCCACGCGTACGACGCGAAGGAGGTCCGTTTCGACGGACAAGTGGAAGGCGCGCTGTACTCCGCAGATGAAATTGAGCGCGCCCGCAAAAAACGTCGAGCTTCGCGTAAGCACATAAGAGATTGATAATGTAATTAAACGCAAACGTGCAAACAAGCTAAACAAGAATGACGAAAAAAAAAAATTTTTTTTTCGCCCGCGCACCAGTCATTTAGTTGTGTTTGGAAATTTGTGTTTGTCCTTTGTCCCCCTTCTCCGATGCTTATTTTCGTCATTCCTGTCCAGCTCGCTTGCACCTTTGCATTCAATTGCAATCTCAATCATAACCTTGAAAATACAAGCCAAGTTTTATCAGCTGCAAAAACGGCAGCTGATAAAACTCGTTTGCTCTGCTGACGTCTAACTCCTGGTTAGATCAGTTGGTAGAGCGCTCCACTGGACACGGAGAGGCAGTGTTGGCGGTAACGCGTTACAAGTAACGGCGTCACCGGTAACGCGTTACTTTTTTTGGTAACGTAGTAACGTACTCGTTACTTTTCCAAAGAACTAACGGGTAACGTACTTACGTTACTTATATTGAGTAATGTGTAACGAAATTACGTTACGTTACTTTACTTCCTTAAACTTACAAAAATTTTACATTTTTTTTTGTGTGTTTTTTAAGTGCGCAGTAATAAATTCCTTAGTCAAAACATGCCGCTGTCCTCCACTTTTCTTTGACGTCGGTGCTCGTCAGATTTGACGTCACACGCCACCTGCCACTGGTTTTCTCCCGCGGCTCGTTAACCTCGCTACCGCCGTCGCCTCGGCTGGAAGGCCAAAGAGGTCCGGCTTCGGGTGGATTTGGGAGATTCCTGCGTCGAAGGGTGCGTTTCGCTTCCCGCAGGGAAAGGGATTGACACCTTCGTGTCATTCCCTTTCCCGTTTTCCAAGTTACAAATCAGCTTCATATATGCTTCCGCGTTTTTTCTTGTAACTATTCGGGTGAAACCCTAAAAAAGAGAGGGTAATTAAGTTTCCGCATGGACATATTTTATCTATGGCGCTTACGCACATATCAAACGTCGAAACCGCAAATGTTTTAGTTCGTGAATAAAAAGTAACGCAACAGTAACGTGCGTTACTTTTTATCAGTAATGGTAACGGTAACGCGTTCTTTTTATTTTGAGGTAACGTAGGTCGGTAACGCGTTACATTTATTTGCAAGTAACGAGTAACGTATTTAGTTACTTTTTTTCAGTAACGCATACAACACTGCGGAGAGGTCCCTGGATCGATACCGGGACCAGGCGGATTTTTTCGGTCGCGTACCAGTCACCTAGTTGTGTTTGGAGATTTGTTGTTCGTCCCTTGCCCCCTTGTTCCCCTTCTTCTCCCGGGTTTATTTTCGTCATACATAAGAAAATTTCCTTAGTTTTGGAGTGAACTGCGCTAATGATGTACGTTTATTGCTTTTAGAATCAGCTTGAAAACAAACGGGCGATTCTTTTCGCACCGTGCCACGATTCGCAGCACTATATATATACTTTTTTTTTTTTTCCTGTACGCCAGGGTTCTCTAAACGTTTTGGCCAAGCGGCTGGATCGGGGATCTGTCGCGGTCTCGAAGGCCGGGAAATAAATGAATAAATACAAATACAGAAACACTGAATAAATATCCTAGATAATCACTTAAATAAAAATTGATTAGAGTAGCCACGAAAAAGCAATCTAAGACAATCATGAACACATATCCTTTACATTAAAATGTAATCTAGCCCAAGCGCATAGGAACTTTGGCATGTTCACAAAGGGCAGAACACCAATGAGAATGGTAGAATTCATGCTGACAATGTGCAATAGTCATATATTATGCCGTCATAAAAGATATGCTGCAACGCAAAGGAATGGACCTTTTCCACATACCGACGGCACCAGGCGGTGGCTGCACGAATTAAAAATCGAGGAAGTGACCTACCTGCGCTACCAATCGATAATGGGAGCTACGCTACCAGTTTCTTCGCTCTCTGAGCTGCGGCGCGTGCCCAAAGCGACTTTAAAGATGGACATCCGTGGCGTCCACCCAAACGTCGTGTTTTTCTTTCCGTCCAGTTTTTTTTTTTTTTTTTTTTTTTTGTTTGTGTGTAACACAATTATATATATGCTACAATTACGTGTTCTACTCGCCTGATGCACAGCCTCCTTTCGAATTTCCTCGATTTTTCGTGCCGACTTCCGCCGCTTGGCATCGGGCGCTCGCGCGTGCGCAGAGCGCTTCTCGAAAAAGGTCCATTCCAGCATACGCATCATATGATATGTACGCTATGTATCAGGGGACTAAGAATAGTGACGCTAATGATGACCATGTCCAATGAATAATATGGCGAGAGAACCTGTGTTAGAGGCACTTTCTTCTCGGTCTCCGTGGTATCTTATAGTTTGCGCGGTTGATGCGCGGCGCCGTTTCTTTACTTTTGGCGCCGGTAGCAACGGACTTGCTGGAAGCGGGCCACGGGCCGGGCTTCATTGGAAGGACCGCGGTCAGCCACGGGCCTGGGTTTGGAGACACCTGTTGTAGGCTAATAAAAAAATCCAAGGGTGGGGTGTAGCTTGGGTAGGCGACCTCGTTCTCTGTGAAGTGTTTGCTGCATATTTTAGAGTGTGCTGTAGGCGTACGTGTTTTCCATCGTCGCTAGAAAAGGATAATGGTATTATTCGTCAGCAGCTACAAAGCAAAACGCCAGCTGCAACTGAGAAACGCCACTTACGTCGACGCGCCGCGCCTGAGGAGCTCCGCCTCGTCGCGGCTTCGAAGGGAAGCTGTAATACTTCGTGCCGTGCGCGTTCTTGTACTGTTGCAGTCGACCACGCAGCAATTGTTGAGGCTTTTTTTGGTGCGGAATAGCCATCTCAGAAACTACAGCACTAAGCCGCTACTGCCGCTACAACGCACAAACAACGCAGCGACTGCTTCCCGATGACTCTGACCCGTTTGCCGCTAGGGGCGCCCTGGTCGGAGCGTTAATTACGTCCGCAAGATCAAGGCAAGGTACATTTGACAGCGTTGGACAGGATACTAGGGCTGGGCGTCGATTAAAAGTTTTAACCCGATTAATCGCCACATTTTAATCGATTAATTAATCGATTAATCGGTCTCGTTAATTTCCATGCATAATATTTTTAATAAGTCAAAAAATAATATTTGTTTTCTGTTTTTGCCCTTGCTGAACATGAGGTAAAGGGCCTAATACACAAGTTTTATTATTAACCAACCTTGATGTGTAGTTAAGAACAGTTCGAAGGCACTGACACATTATTACTTCAGCTGCATGAGGCAAAAAGTTCGGTGATATTATCCGGCAAGAGCAACCTCCTTTGATTGTTCACACTATAGTCTCTCTCTGCTGCGCTAAACGGACACTCAAACGCTATTGAAGTGGCCGGGAGACGTGTAACCTTCTGTACCTTGTTCAGGAGTTACAAATCTTCCCCCTACAGTTTACTTTAGGCTAAACTTTGACCCAAAGTTTGCCCTTCATAGAGGTGTTCCCGTCCTTGTCTGTGGTGAAAGCGCTTACTTTTTACTTTATTTTGGTTCGTTAAAATATTATTGATTAACCGGTTAAAAAGATTAATCACGATTAAAGCATTAATCGATTAATCGGTAGGTTAATCGATCAAATGTCCAGCCCTACAGGATACCCAACAAAAGTATTTAAGTTACTAAATACCTGCTCCATAAATTATTTTAACTACTACTCAAATTACTTTCCCAGTAAAATACCTTGAGTAGTCAAGAGTACAAATACTCTACTCAGTAAGACTACTTACCTGCAAGCAACCGAAGCAAACAAAACAAAATCGCAGCGCTATCCTATGCAGTCCCAGTCGAATAAGTAGCGTAGATGTTACACGATGATATTTTTAAGACAAATAGGCAAAAAGAGGTCACCTTCAGGCACGTAGCCAGGGGGGGAGGGGGGGAGGGGGCCGGCCAACCCCCAACCCCCCCCCCCCCCCCCAAAAAAAAAAAAAAAAATCTTCCATTTCGCTGGGACATCCTCTCCCCCCTCCCCCTCATACTGCATTTTGTCACGGGTGCCCCCCCCCCCCCCCCCCCCCCCCCCCCCGAAACAAAATCCTGGCTACGTGCCTGGTCACCTTATACCTAAGGTTAAATTCCTGAAAATCACATCTTCTGGTTTTATAACGCGTACCTTGAACGCGCCGGCTTTACTAAGCGCCGCTATATTCGGGGTTCAAGTAACAGAAATTTGGGACAGCCAAAAGCATCAGTGAATAAAATGGAGGGATCATGTACCGTAGGAACTTGCCACGCATTCCTCCAAGTGGGTTGCCCAAAGGCTACATTCACGGATGACTTCAAAAAGAAGTGTGCAAGGGAAGCACTGCGCTGCTCTCTTTCTCGCGGTTGTCCATTTTTGTATTTTCCCCCCACATTTAGCTTCACAAGCGCGTTCAGGAAAGCGTACAACTTTGGAAGGACCTTGCATTCTGAGAGCTCATCCTGCTGCTATCCTGTTTCCTGCCTTATTTGTAAGAATATCTGTCCTGATCAAGGTCCCCCACAGGTGTCTGGCACAGACAGTGTTCCCAGGAGTGCCAGACTGGGGAAAGAAACTGCCATTCTTGCCCTAGCGGGGGTAAAAAAAAATTATTTTTTTATCCCCACTCATTTCCTATATATATATATATATGTGTGTGTTTTTTTTTTCTTCTGTTTTGAAAAAGGGGGTGGGAAGGGTCATTTTGAGTTTGCATTTTTAATCCTGGTTTCTCTACTGTGCCGTGTTCAGTCGCTTCCGCTTCATGTTTGAAATCGATTCAGCTGTGCGCTCGGGTGTGCCGATTCCTATTCCCGTAAAAAAAATTCCAGCGACAATTTTTTTTATTTTGCAAACACTGAAAAATGTTATTTGAGGTAACGAGTACAAGATACTGAGAAATGTAATAATAAAGCTAGTGTAGCAAATACTTTGGATCAAATGTATTTGCAGGATAGCGAATTACCCCCAAAAAGTATTTGAAATACAGTATCTGGGGTAGAGTATTTATGTACAAGACGGCATTTGGCAGACTTTCAAATGCACCCACTTACTCACACGAGCGGGGACTTGTAGATTCCTAATCGTCAGCAGTGTACTCCTCACACCAGAAAAAGGTAGGATAGTAATTTTCGACATTCCCTTAAAGGGGCCCTGCAATCATATGTAAGCGTCCACCTTTTTTGCGGTTTCCACGTCTCTTAGGGTTCGGGCAAGCCAGCGGGCACAGAGTGAGTAACTAAATATCACTGCATCATATTTTAAACGGACGTCGCAGAAACCTCCTCCACCGACGGGGGCGACCCGCGGTAGCGAAAGCGCGTGATATGTGACGTCTTTGGTCCTGGGCTTACTACTGGTCAGAGCCGCTAAAAGCTTATTTTTAGTCGAAATACAAAATATAAGCGGCGCGAATCGTTTCAATTATCTATGAAAGTAGTTTTAGTTCAGCATTTTAGATCAGAAAAGAAACAAATGCAGTTTATAAAGTACGGAAACAAGAAATGACCCGTCGACATATTCGCCACCAAGCGGTGGAAAAGGCGGCACATACTAGAAAAGAGTAGTGGGATCAGGAGCCGACACGGAAAGGTCCCGGATGTACGCGGAGGCGCTGCGGTCGTATGGACTGGAGGATCCGACCAGCTCCGAGCGTTCCGAAGGCCTTCGGCAAGCAGCTGTCTTGCGGTTTCGCCGTTTCGCGCTCCCATTCTGAACTGATCTTTACTTAGTGTTTGCTGTCGTTTGTGGCCAATGAAGTGTCGTGTCGAATTAATGTTTAATCGCGCAGCAAATGCAATGTGAGCCGCTCTGACTGCCCGCTGCATACAGCCTATCCAGAATATGCTTTAGTGGCGCCCTCTCGCGCCGTCGACACAGAGTGCGGCAGCCGTGAGCGCTCGCTGAGCTCACTACCCCTCCTCTAGTTCACGGCCACTCAAGCAACCAAGGACGTCATGAAGGAGCTTATTTTTTTGCTTGTTTTTTGTAATTTCAATTTGCCTATAACTTTTAAAATAAAGCGAAATTCGAGAAAAGATAAGTTTCATTAAGTTACTACTTTCAGTGCGCTCAGGTTCGGTGCAAATTAAGAACCAGTGAAAGTCCTTGCAGGGCCCCTTTAATCATTTTCGGTGAAAGTTTAGTTCCGCTCCATGGATCATTAAAAAACACACACACACAAATTTAGACGGTACGGACAACTGTCCAAAATAATGGTCGCAAATTGGTCTCGTCCGACCATAGGCGGCAAGACCAATTGTTCACCCACTCAATTCCGTGCACCTTGCGGGCCTGAAATGGTAGTCTTCCGTCGCTCTGGTCACAAACAGAACTCGGTCTTTGTATGGACAGCCGCAAGGCATGGTAACTCTCGATATTATGTCTCAAACCTCGTCTCAAAATCTGAGGCCGTCTCTAGACCGTGCTGTGCAGCCACTTAACGAAAAAGCGCGAAGCCAGGCATTTATAATAACTTCCTTTATTGAACGAGTGTCTATAAACGAGTGTCTTCGCACCCAGTCCTCAGAATGCACTGCCTCCGAAGAGCCTCCAACCCTACAAAGCATGTCCAAGCCGCCGCCTCCCGGTCCGCGTTAGGAAGCAGGTGGTCACGCAGACGTCCCTGCACTTGGAAGGTACACTGCGGCAAACGCCTCCGATGGCAGGAGCATGGCTACGGTCAGCCATGCTCCTGCCTTGAGCTACTTTTCCCCCCTTTCTTTCGCAGAATCAAGTCAGGACCTCGGAGCCCAAATCAAAAGGCTAGAGGCCATTGTGGAGAAACTCGCCAATCAGGTAAGGTGCTTGGAAGCGGGGCTTCCGGGTAACAGCACAAAATGGCCGCCACCAACGACAGTTCCGATTGCAAAATATGGCGAATCCTTCTAGCCCAAATTCAGGAAGCCGCAGGAGGATGCGCTGGACATAACGGAAGAAAGCTTGGTAAGGACGCTACCCTCCGTCCAAGTGCTCCCGGTCAGAGGCAACTCGTCGTTTTTCGGCAGATATTCCTCGTGCAACAAACAATTCCCGTGGCCGAGGAGCAACTGGACAGCTACCAGACTTCCCTGAGACATTACACCGAGAAAACGGCAACTTGTCCCGGCTGCCTTCTGTAAGACGCCTCAGACCCTCCACGCCTCCCACCAACTCATACTGTGTGTGTTCTATATTCCAGCGTATCCGTGCGCTTTTACAAGGATATCACCACTTACGCAGTCTATGAAATCTGGGAAAGCGAAGATTCTTGGAACAAGTAAGATGCGACGCATACAATCGTTATACAGCTGCGCTACTCGATCTGGAGTGCCGGCGTGATCCTGGGTCTACAATTTGCAGCCAGGAAGGACCCAGGCGTCCCCAAATTACAAAAATGCACCTTTGGCCCCTTTGCCTTTTTTTTCCCCTGACTCGTTCTCATCAGCTGACAGGCACTGTCTAAAACCAGGCGTCACTCGTTAATAGATCGCACTTTGAAGCATCAGGCATCACAAAGGCTTATTTTGATTCTGTGCACTATTTTTATGTCCAGGCACTTGAGGTCCCTCACGTACAAAACGCTACAGCACCAAAACATCGAGTGCCTTCGGAAGCCAGAGTTTCTCAACACAATGGAGATACCCGGTGAGGAAAGTCGGCAACACAACGCCGTCCGAAACTAGACCGCCTGGCTCGTGTTTCAGGTGCGTGGTGGGAGGCAGACCCCGACAGACACCTATCGCTGGGAAATCCATCTTGATCACTGCCACGTACCATACCTTCCCAGGAGAACGTATTGTACAAACGAGAGGAGTTACTGGAAATAAACCGCACACTTAAGCAAAATAACTCGGTCCCCCCCCGCACCAAAACTGGAATGCTAGCGCGACTGCACACGCGGAAATGCACAGGACAAACGGCACGCGTCGTTTGAAGTGGCAAGCTCTTGCATTAGTGTACGAAAATATTGTCTAAAGGTGTCTCGTAAAGAAAATTATCTCCTCAAATCTCATGCCCCCCTCCCCACCCCCCCCCCCCCCAAAAAAAAAAAAAAAAAGAGCTGACGCTGATACTAAGATGAAAAGGGCAAATTTATAAAACGAAAATCCTTCGCTATACAGAGAACGAAAATGAAATGCAACTTTTACAAAATACTAAGTGAGGCACCATCGAAGCTTTCTCGGTAATTCTCAAACCAAACGTGGCACCAACGAGGCGTGCCGGGAAAGACATTCACGGAAAGGCGGTGCCAAGGGAGCGTTCCTGAGTTCACTTCCGAATCCTTGCACCTAAAAATAAAATAAAAAAAAAATCAACGCAAAGAAGCAACATGACGCAATAACAAGTTACAACAACTAATTTTCGCGTCACACTTTGCTAATACAGAGCGCGACACAGCACAAAATGCAATGGCTGACCTTCTTTTATTTATTTTTGCAGTTTTCTTTCACGGTTGTTGGAAAGCGCTAGTTTAATGGACTGTCGGGCGTAGCAACCCATGCGATCAAATCGGCGTCCGACCACTATTACAACGTTCTACCTTCCTACGGACCGTAATCCGGACGCCATCCAAGCCAATCCAACGCTGTGAACGTGTGGACCCGCGCACCTAAGGTCACGTGACACCCCTCCGACGAATGCTGCAGTCGACCCACCGTAAGGCAAAACGAGAAAAGGCACACATGTCGCGCGGTGCACAGAAGCAACAGCAATGCGCGCATGCACCAACCTCGTTCCACGCACACCCGACCCCCTTTCGGAACAAGCGAAGCAGTCGCGCGCGCCTCTCAGTACATACACCCCGCCATCTTCCCAACAAAGCAACGACGGATCGATGGATTTCCACTCTACAAAACGCGAGTAACTCCACTCTAGGGGCGCTTCCGCCAGTCAAACATTCACTATACAACATTTGCTTCAACGAGGGGAAAAATAAAAAAATAAAAAATGAAAGCCTCTTTTTTTGTTCTTTCCCGCTCCGACCGAAAGAGCCGGGCTTGCCGTGCATCCAGGTTTGCTCCCCGCGAAGGCCGCCCTCAGTGAGCCGCCCCGTGCCTCAGAGCATGGAGGGCACGAGGGACGGCGGGCCCTTGAAGGTCAGGGGCTGCAGGTGGCCCTTGGGAGGGGTGATGTTGCAGAAGGCGGTGCACAGGGGACCCTGGACCTCCATGCGGTGCAGGTTCTGGCACCGCTTCCGCAGCTCCTCCAAGTTGAAGGGGTACTCCGGCCCGGGACCTCTGCCGTAGTAGTCGGGGTCGTCAGGGTACAGGTCGTCCCCTGCGCCACACCAGGTCGCACACGTGTTTGCAACTACGGGAGGGGGCCACCGTATACCACCACCAAGAGAAAAGATGGCAGCTAACTCGTAACGTCAGTGGGCCAGTGAGCGAGATCCAAATTGTACTAATGTGCCCACACAACTTCCACCTTTCTCGCGCAAAAGAAAAAAAACAAGGTCGGGGGCCGAGGCCACGCGGTCGCAGCGGCGCATCCCAACGAGACCTATCGCGCGCCCCACAAGCAGCAGCGACACGCCAACGAGGAAGGCGGCGCCGCTGCTGCTGAGACAACAGCGGGGGGTCGGCCAACCCCGCAGCATTGCCCAAGAGCAAAGACGCCGTCCCGCACTCCGATGCACGTCCCGATAAACGAGCAGACGCAAGACTGCTCCACTCGCGGACGTCCGACGTTCGGCCGAAGACCAACGAATCGAGGAAGTCGTCCTCTTCCGCAGTCGGGACGTCCCCGCCGCCCCAGGAACTGGGGGAAGGGGGGGCGAGCGCCCTCACGGTCCGGCCGTTGAACCATGAGGTCGAAAGTGGACGCGTGTGCGCTGAGCCACGGAACGGCCGGGGGGAAAAAACATAGCGCCACCAGAACTCTACCGCCAGACAAGGTCAAGGAAACGGGCCATCCAGTGAGAATAACAGCGGCCACTCCGAGCGGCCCGCGCACACAGAAGCGAACAACACGGCCGCGGAATGCCGCGTCGCGGCTTGACCCAGATCGGCGTTTTTGTGTTATTTCTTTTTGGTCCGTTTAGTTTGGAGGCGAAGGTTGGCCGGAAGTCGGGTGGCGAAACAAAAAGGTCAATCGCCGTCCAGACGTGTCCCTTTTTTGCTTTTTCTCTCTGGTCACTTTGATTTCAAGGACGCTCTCGGAGCAGCAGCGGTTCGGTCTTTTAGAGCCGGGACACTGCTCTCTGGGACACACCACCGAGATCATCGTCGGAACGAAAAAAAACGCCCGCTATCATCATCATCGTTTGTGACGTCACGGGTAGGACAGACTGGGACAGACTGCGCAGATCTTGGATCCCTCGGCTCGTCAGCTCGCTTCATGCGCTGTTTGGGTAACGCGCGGGCAAAGCCTATTTTACGCGTAGTGTTTATCTGGTGAAGTGATAGTAGGACATTTTAACGAAGCTTGAAAACGTGGCACGCGTAGCCGTGCTAACAAATACTTTTGGCGCTGAGGTGTCGAAGCGCTGGGATGGTGGTGTGCTCTTCTCTACCCGAGTACAAAAAGCTGGATGATGAAAATAGAACATCCTACGCTTTATACCACTACAACATCTACCACGGAGAATATGCTGTATTTGATTCCGACAAAATAAGAACGGACTGTCCCATCAAACTGAAAATAGAAAAGCAAAATTCGAGAACGTCTCGCGTGTGTAGTAAGTAAACACTTCAGTGAAAGCGACTCCGTGTATCCTGTTGATTCCAATGTGTTTTGTGAGTGCTGGTCTCTTAGTTCTAAGTTGATGCCTTTCGGAATTTCGGAAACCAGCAAACAAACATTTCCTCAAAAATACTGGCAGGAAGAAGCGGTGGCTGGCTTTCGGATTCCTTTAAATTAAATCTTTGCTTATTCACCCAATCGACGCGAAACGTGCGGGACCCCCTCCCGATCGAAGTCTTAAATCTAGTAAGACGGTGACACTTCAGCGTCCCTAAAAATGAGGTATACACTTGCTACAAGTTGCTACCGTTTGTATGTTTAATTTTGCGTACCCAAATGCGCATAATGCGTGATGCGCTGCTCAGCGAGCGATCTCACATTTGTAAACAATTCTCAGTAAAATTCGGACAAAACAAATTAATCAATTGCCTGAATTCGCCAGGCCATGTCCGACAATTTAAGAATTTATGAAAATTTCTGCTTTTCTTTCGAGCACAAGTCGCGATGTGACAAACTTTTTTGCCACATATTCGATACGGGAGGAGCTAAGCGTCAGCAACCGTCGAGTCACACTTGGATAGAAGCGTCAGTATCGCGGCAAGCTCATGTAGTTAAAACAAGTGTGCGGCGCTTTGCAACACAACTGTGCGCGCGTGCACAGCTAAGAAGACAACACGTCATTTAGTCTAGTTAATACACAACCTTTTTCTACAGGAGAAGCTGTTGTAGAAAAAAGGTTTTGCATTCATTATAGTCAGTTACAGGTTAAGAAGGTAGCGGCAAATGCCCCTCAAAGGGAATCAGATATCCCTCCGCCACCTCCGCATCCAATAGCGTCCCACCGTTTCCGTGACGTCGTGGCCAACGCGCGAGGAGGGTCTTGCCTTTCTGTACATATTTGCTTTATCTTTCGACTTTGACTTAGCATTGTGGAATGTGGAAACCACGAGAGGGAGATTAGAGTTCTTTCCCACCGACGGAAACAAATACGACTTTCGGGGATTAGCTTCCCCCCGATGGATACAAAGGCTGCTTTTAGGGGCTCGGTTCCCTCTCCGATGAATACAAAGGTCGCTTTCTTAAAAAGTGGGATCGGAGACAAGTGGGAATCCATTGAAGCGGAACAAGCAGCGTTTCCAGTGAACTCTTCTTTCGACTGCGGAGAGATTTGAAACGGGCGCATCACACTTGTGGGAGGAGCTTCTCCTACCTTCTTGACTTGTAACCGACTATAGAGTAAATGATCCGAAAAAAACAAGTATCAGAGAGGCTGTGAATAGCCCTGACGCACGCCGCACTGTGAAGCTACAGGCTTGTATTTGACAACGCTATTTCTTTTTTTCTTTATGTGTGTACGCAAACATTTTGCGTACGCTAAAAACTCGTCAGTGTCTGGGGTCCGCGATATCTGATGATAACAAAAAGGCCTTCTCTATAAAAATCACCCGAGTCCAGCGTTGTCGAATACTTACCTTTTCTGGTTGGCGACGTCAAAATCAATGAAGCGCGTGTGTTCAAATAAATAAAGATTTGTTTACACAGGTCCATAAAGTGGCGCATAGCATAAAACTTCAGCCAAACTTGCCCTTTGATTTTATTTGGCCAATTTTACGGAAGTCAGATCTAATTTGACTGGCCTGTCCCTTATACCTTGAGTACGCCGTAAAAGCAAATGTCCATATAATAAACAGTTTATTTCCTAAGGCCATAATTGTGAAATGCTGCTATTGAGTACTTTTGCAGCGCCGACAATTACAAAAATTCACTATTCAGTCTCGATCGGACTGTCAAAATATTTCTCGAGTACTTCATTTCTTTAAATAAGACAGGTAGAAAAAATATCACTTGCTTTTATAAGTTCTGGGAGCCATTATCTTTCCGGATTCAGTACTTCGCTAATCAAGCTGTCAACCTGCTTCTTCACATCCATGCATTAGCCGCTTCACTAGTTTATTTTCCTGGAAACTAGTGTCATCATGTGCGGCCGCAGGTGATGGTAATCTTCCCTGTACATCAGTTCAGTCGTTTCGCCACCGATCATGGCCGAAATTAACGATGAACGAAAGGTGTCTCAAAAAAAAGAAAGCCCGCAATTTAGGCTCGAAACCAATTCATGGTCCTCAAAGTGGCTCAGTACTACTTTTTCTTTTGTTGTGTGTCACAAGGGACGCATTTGTATGACAAAATAAAGCAAACACGGCATAAAACAGCAACACAGCCGCGTGCCTCCTTCGCTGACTATTCTTGTCAGCTAGCTTCCAATCCTAAATGCGCGATCATAAATATATGCGCTTCTTACGGGGAACGTTTCGCCTTTATTATACAAACCTGAGTTGTCAGAAGTAATGAACCTTTGAACCCTCGCGCTGTCTTAGTCGCCTACATAATCAATGGGGTTCAGTGTTAACGCTGATTCCTGCGCCTCATCCTCCTACGAATTCAGTACGCCGACGGTGAAAATAGTCACATCGTGCTACAAAATTAACTGCATACGTTGTGCAGATTATGATCTAATGTAGGGGCCTCAAACTCAGTTAAGTGCGGGGGCCAGATATCCCACCCCCGAAAGGACGAGGACCAATAAAAGATGGCGTGGGGGGGAGGGGGAGGGGCGTGACGGAGAAGGGACCACACGCTCTAGCCTGACATCTGGAGGTTTGATTCGCTTTGAGGACTACTTTAGGCTTGCATCATGTGATAACAAGAATTAGAATGACACCGCCTCGCAATTAATTATGCTGAAATTTTTTATAGAACAGAAGAGTATGCACACTGCGGTTCCCGTTGCTCAATTAAGTCGGAAATTATTCAAACTCAAGATGTTTCGAAAGAAAATATTTCTTCATACGACGGTTGTTGCATTCCTGACAATTTTTATAGAAGCAGTCTGATAAAATACTCGAATTTTTATGCTGATGTTTCTGAGGGCGAGAACTCAAAAATCATAGCTTGCAGCTGAGGTGACGAAACGCTGGGAAGCAAAAAGTAAAACGAAACAATGTGAATATGTTATAAGAGCAGTACTACATATGGAACAGAAATGAACTGATGACATTACTAATTCTTATGGCGTATGCCGTTTCTAACGTTCGAGACATGGGAAAAAAGGCTCGCACAGCCAGTTACTTGTGGGCCGCATCCCAGCGAATCGCGGGCCGCGTGTATGAGACCCCTGATCTAATGCAATTATGTAGTAGATACAAGTATGGGACCACACTTTACAGAGTAAGGCAAGGAAACGCGGTGAAACAGGGCAAAAAACGCGAATACAACGCATCCGCCAAGGTGCGGAGGGGAGAGCGGAGCTAAAAGTTGACGCAACCTAATGGCGGTCGCATCACATGATTCCAAGATGGCAGCACCCATGCGACTGAGGATGAAAAGGCCTATACAGTGGCGTAGCCCGGAGGCAGGGCTTAAGAAGCTTCAGCCTTGCCCCCTCCGAAATCCAGCCGATCCTATGTGCCAAGAAACTAAAAGAGAGGAAGAGATGAGCGCGCATGGGGGAGACGTGAGAACCCCCGAGCTCTGGTTTGAATGACTTGTGGGTAGGCCTAAACCTAGTAGGAAGACCTAAAGTTCGAATGCGAAAG